CCCCAAAACCCCAAAACCCCAAAACCCCAAAACCCCAAAACCCCAAAACCCCAAAACCCCATTTGATAATACCAAAATTGAATTAAGATGTCATCGGTGTTTTAAATCTCAAGGCAATTATTCCATAATTTCCTCACTGGGACCAGCTTTCTTTGGTTTCAGAAGCCAAGCATGGTAAAGTGTCTTTCTCTCAGAAAGTTCGTCATAAACTCTGCTACCAGTGACTCCTGAGAACTTATTGATGAGGGGGACAAATATTTTGGGGCATTTTTCCTCAATTACTGCTAACCTTCTTTGTGTATCTAACTTTAAAGCGTAGCATACATTTCTAGTGATATCAATAGATTTCTCAACTACGAAATACTCTTCAACTTTAGCTTGGAGTTCTTCCATGCCTTCTACCCCTCTAAAATCTGTGTAACAGAAAACTCCATCCTTCTTGAGTGCTCTATTGATCTGAGTGAAGAAATTATCAATATTTCCGTATCAGTGGGAAGACTCTACATTGACAATAGCATCGACTGAATCCTCGCCAATTCCTTCGACTGTTGTGAAAGTTTCTGCATCTCCTTGATGAAACTCAAGTTGGTTGATATTAGAGTGTCTTCCTTTACAGAACTCAACTTGGTTCATGGAAAAGTCAACTCCAATAGCTTTTTCTGGTTTGAAAACTCTTGTCAAAAAGGAGATACCTCCGCCTCTTCCTGAGCCAATTTCGACAAGGGTCTTGCCTTCGAGAGACTTGAAGGCTTTATTCGTCCCAGTGATGAAGTAGTAGAGCTGAAGAGAGAAGCACTCGTGCTTATCTTGCTCTTCTGTCAGTAAATTATCAATCATGTGACCATCATCTGTGAGAAGGGCGTATCCGTAATTCATAGTGACCCAATCAGTATCCTGGTTGTACCAGCTCATGAACTCATAAAATCCTTGCCAGAGGAGTCTTCTTGGGGTTTCTGATTGGTACACCAGCCAGTCATAGACTGCAAGATACCATTTCTCTAGAACTCCTCCAAAACGAGTGTATTTGGCAAGCAAATAGATTCCAATGATCAATGGGGTGTTGAATATCAGGATTGGGATCCATATAGGAATTGTGATCAATGCTAATAAGAAAAATAAGCCAATAACTGCCAGGAAGGCCACAAAATAGTGTCTATTATCCATCTTTGAGATTTTTAATTTTCTATATTTGTGAGGGAAGGTGGGGTTTTGGGGTTTTGGGGTTTTGGGGTTTTGGGGTTTAGAGGGAGGTTTTTGGACCTTA